TAATAGTCAATTCTAGTTTATGGAGGCCTACTCCATGATTTTCTAGGTAGGGAGTACTTAGACGTCGTGTGCTGTTATTCCCTTCTCTGGGACCATATGGACAGTGCAGTTTTAGGCAATTTGGCTGTTCTTGTACAAGTCACTGCGGGGAATTGAAGCTCCAGTCGCTGACTCTGTAGCCAGGTGCTCCATCTCACTGAACTCTCCAGCCGGCTATGCATCACCCTGACCAGGCCATATATTGATTGAGAGGAAGGTGGCATACTCTTTTTCCCCGAAAATAAGCCCTAGTATGATTTTTCAGGATGCTCGTAATATAAACCCTACCCCCAAAATAAGCTCTAGTGCAGTGAAACCCCGCCCTCCACCATTGTGCAGCAACCAGAAGAAGATAACATGACTGTATTTGAATAAATGTAGATTGTTGTACATGAAAAAAATAAAACATCCCCTGAAAATAAGCCCTAATGTGTTTTTTGAAGCAAAAATTAATATAAGACCCTGTCTTATTTTCGGGGAAACACGGTAGTTCTTGCTTCCAGCATCAAGCCCATGTTTGTCTCTCACAACAAGGCCTGACTTTGAAATAAGATGGCTAAATCTTACAATAACTAGTAAATCTGCCTTGCAAACAGATTCTGTCTTCTCCTTACCACCACCCCATCCATTAGATAAAGGTTTGTTGAAATAAAGTGACGTTTTAAAAGCAGTGTTTAGTAATCAGATAATGATCAGAACCATCAAAGTAAGTGGTAATGTTACTGATAATAATATGCAGTCTTTATTGAATATATGCTGTATCATTTTCAAGGCCAGTTTACAAGGAAGACAAGCCTTATACGTGTGAGGCACGTTAGTACAACAGTAAATATATAGTGACAGTAGATCCAGCTAGCATAACTTCAGTGTTGGGTAAATGTGTAGTCCATCAGAAGTCAATGTAGTAGTTGCTAAATTTGATACAAATGCATTAATGCATCATAGTTAATGGGTGATTATGTTTTGTTTACTCCTGTTTTGATTGTAAAATATCTCCTCCCTGTTATTTCCAATTGTTATTTGACTTCTTATCTCTTTAGTTTGTTAAACGTCTGGTCTAAGTACCGTAGACCAAATTATAGTATATGAATATAATGTTATGTATTCTTTTCTCTTATTCTGAAGAAAAACCATGTTGAATGACCTGTTGAGATTTGATGTGAAAGACTGCTCTTGGTGCAGGTACTACTATGTTTCTAATGAATATGTCATATATTTTATGTAGTTACCCACCCTAAATTAAGATATCCAAAACCCTAACACAGTGAGATTCTACTGCATTTCTAATGATTGCTGTGTATTTGGTAGCTGTCTGCTGTAACTCTGTAGCCACGTTAAGTTAATTGCTGTGTATTTCCCATGAGACCATAGTTCTCATTAGGCTATTATTTCAAACAACATACTTGGACATTCTTTTGAAGTCATTACTTCTTAGCAAAATATACAGATGTTTTAAAATAATGGTAGCAAAATGTATTGTCACACTTTTTTTGCTGCCTATCTGAAAAAGAGAAGACTGTAGTGAAAGATGAGGACAGTGGTATTGATGACAACAAAGAAGAAATAAAGGTGTCTGCTATAAAATGGATACTCCACCATCTTCAGTGGCTATGCAGAGCTGTTCTTAGAGGTGCCTCTGTTCACATTCCATGGAATGCTGAGTTGCAAATAGTGCAACTTGATCCAGGCACTATGGAGAGGTAGTTTTGTGTAAGTGATTTCCCAAAGCATCTTTTCCATGTTGTCTGGTTCGAGGACTCCTCACAGCTCTGCATTCAAGTAGATTAGAAAAGACAAAGTTCTGTATAGTAGAGCCAACTTCTGAAAATAATGGGATCTCTTCTCCTCCTGCTCTTGCCACTGCTACTTAATTCTTAGTTTGGGAGGAAGGAGATGTGGCCATGGCCACAGAAGCTGAACTCCAGCTCTGGAGAAGTGCACATGGCCTCTGGATGAGTATGGGCTCTGTCATGGTGGAAGGGATGAATTTATCACCCCAGTAGCCCTCTGCCTAAGGCAGACACATCTGGCAAATTGTAGAGATGGCCTGGCTCCATAAGATCACCAGCTTACTTTTACAAAAGTCAGAAAGCACTCCATTGCAGCTAACATTTTCACAAGGATATACTGGATACCTGCTGGTGGAATAATAGAAACATCAAACTGTTTGCCCAACCAATGGTTGCATGCAGATGAAGCAGATTCTGGCCATTAATAAATTTTAATGTGAGTTCTTCTTTTGTATCTTTCTATTTTGTATTGCTGCACATTGTGTTATACAGGGCTTTTACCACAGGGACCCCACCAGCTCCCAGGTATCACCACTCAGCAGTAGTCTATGGAAGTAGTATGTTTGTATTTGGTAAGTTATCAGGAAGCAGAATCATTTTAAATGAGCATTTTAAAAAATTAATATTGGTTTGGAATTTTGCTATATTTGTTAAAGAGATCAGGAAAAGACTGCTTTATTTCAGTACAAGAATTAACAATTGTAGTCATAAATCATTGTAGCCACCACAACTCAAGCAGATGGCTGTTAGCTGTGAATTTGACAGCTTCAACAACAGTTACAAATATTACTTTTAAGATTAAAAAACCACCAGAGCTTTCCAAGTTTGATTTAAAAATTATTAATTAGTTTTTCTCTTAATCTTAACTGTTAGAAAAGGAGAGATTGATTCATTCCTTTTAAACAGAAAATGTTTAATTTGTTGAGTAGCCATTATAAATTTATTAACTAAATGATTACTTGTTAAATAAACTGTAGATTTGCAGAGGATAGGATGTGGATTGTCACAATTAACCTCTGGTAGTGTTTTTGTTACCAGTGCTTTTAAAAGTGCTGTTTCTATCACTTTAACATTGTTAGCTAGGTAACTGTGGAGTTGAGTATGGCTGAAAAGTATCATGTTGGAAAAGGATGTCTGGTGTAAGTCATAGGATCTTATCTCTTCATCCCCAGAGGAAGAGACACAGGCACCCATATGCCTCCAATAATAGTGGCTCTGCACAAAGCCACTAATTTCTTAGGCCACTTTCAAGTGCACTTCTTTAGTAGGAAGTATAGATGTTATCCATGAAAGTGCAATTTTAAGTAAAGGTTCCTCAACCATCCAGCCTGTCCTGCATGGCTATGGAGGTTATATCAACCAATTTTCTGTAAGTAAAAGATAATAATTATAATTATTACACTATGCTTGTTATATTTACGTTGTTTTAATGTGTTTTAATCTTTGTAAGCCACCCGAGTAGACGTTGTCTAGAGGGGCGGGGGAAAAATTGAATAAATAAAATAAATAAAATAAATAAATAATATCATAAAGATAAAATAAATTTCAGTATTATGCTTTAAAAAATTTTTATAGTGTTTAAAAAGCACCCCAAGATGTTGTTCTTACAAGAGGCTAATACATTACAACAATTACAAGCTGAATTTTTGGAAATTTCTACAGAGATAGCTGAGTTTAACAGAAGGGTCGTGCAGATAATCACAGTTTAATCTTCCACTTTAGGTCAGATGCTGATTTTGCTCCAAACACAAATTTCTAAAAGTATTTTTCAAGTTAAAATGTTTATTTATTTATTTACAAGATTTTTTTTAGCCGTGCCATTACTAATGGTCTCTGAGCAGCGTACAACAATATTAAAACTTTAGAAAAACATTAAAGCCATTAAAAATAGGCAATTATTATAATAATACCCTATATTAAAACAGTCAATTTATCCTTAATAAATACCACTGCTCATACGGCCAGCTAAAGGATACTATTTAATTAAAATGCTGGCTAAACAGAAAGGTCTTTGCCTGGTGCCAAAAAGCCAAAAGTATTGGAGCCAGGCGGATCTCTAGGGAGGGTGTTCCAAAGTTTGGGGGGGGGTAACAGCCAAGAAGGCCCTATTTCAACATGCTATCCCCCTCACCTCTTTCAGGGATGGCACCTTCAGAAGGGCCTCCTGGCCTGATCTTAGATACGGGCAGGCTCATATGGAAGAAGGCAGTCCTTTAGGTAACCAGGTCCTTTGCTGTTTAGGACTTTATATGTCAACATAAGCACTTTGAATTGGGCCTAAACAGCAAGTGTACATTTTTCAGAACCAGCATGATATGAGTCCATGCAGAGGCACCACTTACCAGCCGCGCAGCCCGGTTCTGTGCCAGTTGCAGTCGTCGGACCGTCTTCAAAGGCTGCCCCACATATAGCGCATTGTAATAGTCTAGTCTGGTTGTTACTAATGCATGTGTGACTGTTGCCAGGCTCTGCTCATCTAGATAAGGACAAAGTTGATATATTCTCCACAGCTGTAAGAAGGCACCCGTGGACACCAAGTCCACCTGGACTTCCAAGGTCAGACCCAGGTCAAGGAGCACCCCCAAGCTGTGGACCTTGTCTTTTAGGGGGAGTGTAACCCCATCTAGGGCAGGGAAATGGCCCTTGAACCTATTTGGTGGAGCACCTACCAGCAGCACTTCCAACTGCTCTGGATTGAGCCTCAGTTTATTGATCCAGTCCATTATCGAGTCCAGGCACGAGTTCAGAACAGTGACTGCCACACCTGGATTGGTAGAGAATAAGAGGTAGAGCTGGGTGTCGTCAGTATATTGCTGACTCCTGAGTCCAAACCTCCTAATGACCTCCCCCAGCGGTTTCATGTAGATATTGAATAGCATGGGAGATAGTATAGAGCCCTGAGGAACTCCATGATGCAACCGCCATGGATCAGAGGTACTGTCCCCCAGCAGCACCTTCTGGACCCGATCAGCCAGGTAGGAGTGGAACCACCATAAAATAGTGCCTCCCATTCCCATCCCAGCCAATCTGTCCAGAAGGTCCCCATGGTCTATGGTGTCGAAAGCCGCTGAGAGGTCCAGGAGAATCAACAGGGATGCATTCCCAGTCTCTCTCCCAGCAGTCAAATGGGTTGACCAAGGCAGTCTCCATCCCATAACCCAGCCTGAAACCCAATTGAAATGGATTTAGATAATCTGTTTCATCCAGGAGAGCCTGGAGCTGCTCAGCCACCACACATTCCAACACCTTGCCCAGAAAAGGGAGGTTCGCCACTGGTTGATAGTTGATCACTAGACCTTGGTCCAGATTAGGCTTTTTTAGGAAAGATTAGAAGCCAGTAATTATTACTTATGTGAATGTCCAGTAGAGGTATTAGGAAACTGGGCACTATGACCTCTATTGCTTTGCAAACAAGTGAAGCTGGGAAAGATGAGCAGTAGAAATTTCATATCACCCTGCACTTTCAGGAATAGCTTCTTGCACCATGCTGCTAAAAAACTGGAAAGTGCTTTTTGGGATTAGTGGTTTCTATCCAGTGAATATTGTTGGAGGTAGTATATGGGTACCTGTTCCTTTGGGAGGACACATTGTGCACACATAGGAACTTGATGCAGAAAGTTCAGCAGTGACTACTGATACTTACCAAATAAAATCTTGTTACTGTTATTTTGGAGTGTCACTTTGAAGATAACAGGTACATTATTTTGCCCTGTTTTTAGGAAAGTAACACATTTAATGTTAATAGCCTAAAATTAACATGAAACAAAAATTTCCTGTTGAGGAAAATTATTTTTCTTTTGTTTATGTGGAAGCCAACATAGTTTGAGACTGAATTAATTCAGATACAAGTACAATTTTAGATGCATTCATATATACATAAATTTGGTGCAATGTTTGCTATGGATTTGCATTCATTCTTTTTTAGTTAAACTTCTTCAAAGAATCAAGTTGAGTAGCAACCTATTTTTCTTATTTGCGGGGGCTGTGCATTGACTGTACATTGTGCTGGAGTGAATGGACTTTGTGACAACCTTAATTCCATCTTTATCCCCAGATACAGGCTCACTCAAGCTGTGTCATGAATTAAATTTTGACTGTGTAGACACGCTAGGCACCTGAAATTAAAAAAAAGAACATATTGAAGTCTTAGCTGTACAGCAATACATGGTGCTTGATAACCACTTCCATTATCTTTTTCATCTTATGGGGTAAAAAAATCTGTTCCTATCACTTGCCTAAATTCTTCGCCTCATGCTGAGCCTGTGCATCTTTGCCCAGTTGCAGCAGTGCCTTAATGGCTATTTGCTGCCAGGTGAAAAATAGAGAAATCCTTTTTTTCCCCTTCAATATTTCATATTGTTTTCTAGGTGGATATACTGGAGATATCTATTCCAATTCCAATTTGAAGAATAAAAATGATCTTTTTGAATATAAACTTGCAACAGGCCAGTGGACTGAGTGGAAGATTGAAGGACGGTAAGAGTTTCTGCATTAATTATCTTTAAAAGAAAAGGTGGATTCACATGGCACTTGTCATCCTGATACCAAATGTGAATAAAAGTACAACTCTTATCTTCATAATACTTAACCATAATTAAGTGTTAATGTTCAAGTGCAGCCACCAGGTAAACCACAAATTCATGTCAAATGAACATTAACACTATGTAAAGTCTATACGTTGTATCATCCAAGAAATGTACCAAAGAGAAATCTTAGCAGAAGTTTGGTTTTGGGGGATGACTGGAAGTTCTGTTAACCTATATCACTCAGTTTATTTTGAATGATACAGATGTGTGCTCTTAAACATTTAATTAAATAAGCCGACAATCCTAATGCATACTATTACTGATCTTGAGTTTAGCTGTCATAACCTTCTGTTGCGCAGAACAGTAGCTATTTCTTTAAGCTAATAAATAAATAAATAAATGAGGTCTTCAGTGATGAATGTTTATCTTTCAAATAAATGTACAGCTTTGGATCTCTGAGCTAATGAATATGCAATCAGTATACTGAGTAACAAGTAAGACCTTGCTTCTGGAGACCTGCTCTCTGTTCACTTATAAAATAACAATAACAAAATATTCAACTGAGTGTTGCTTTCTTCCTGTTATCCAGCTCTCATAGTGAAGAGTAGTTCCATCAGCTAATGGTTTTTGCATTTAAGGTAACTTTCTAAACATCAGCCTTTCTCAATCTGGAAAAGAAACTGGAGTAGTTTCTTACATTAATCTTACAAATACTTCAAACCTAAACTCAGGTTTCTCATTGATCTAATAAACAATTAATATGCTGTGCTGCCAAAGTGAAGCTAACGTAAGATTGGAGCAGGACAGATCCATGCACAGAACATTTATGATTTACAAACCAACTACAGTTACTCTAAGGCACAAAGGGGGATATTCCATCTCTGTTGTAAATGTTTAATCATATTCTTATGTACAATAATTGGCAGGTCTATTTTTGTTTCAGATTGCCTGTTGCCCGCTCAGCTCATGGTGCAACTGTCTATAGTGATAAACTGTGGATCTTTGCAGGATATGATGGGAATGCACGGTAGGTAGTATTATTTGGGGCTTTCTTGTAATTGTTTTGGTTGTAAATACCAAGCAAGTGCTGTGTCTTTCTTTAAGATATATTTTTATCAGTTATGTGATTGTAATGCCCCCTTGCTTATTTCTTAGAGCACCTATACTGATTTCTATGCATGTGGCTGAGTGTGCTTTGATAGTAAAGACATAAGTATGATCAGAGAATCACAAGTAAGTGAGCTTGTGAATCACAAGTATGCCCACCTACAAAACAATATAAAATGGATATTTGACATGTTTTCAAAGTGCAAAGATAATTCTCTGACACAAAGTAGTAATATCATCTGTACAACGTATGTAGTAACTGAGCTATATGTAATAGGCATGCACATTACTTTTCATACTTTTCATGGGCTCAAATTTTTGGTTTTCTATACCTTCTGTGAGGGGGTGCTGATTATTGAGCCTTTCCAGGAAAAAAATGAGCTAGGAAGCTATAAATTGCAGGGTGTATTGGCCAATTTGTCTGTATTCAATGGTGCAAAAATGAACTACAGTGGTGCCCCGCATAGCGACATTAATCCGTTCCAGGATTAATGTTGCTATCCGGAAACATCACTAAATGGAAAGAAAAACCCCATAGGAACACATTAACCTCCATTTAATGCATTCCTGTGGGGCCCAAACTCAACGGTAAGCGAAGATTCCCCATCCGGCCGCCATTTTCGCCACCTCGGTAAGCAAGGGCAGGGCGCGAAAACGCTGTGGGTGGCCATTTTGAAACCGCCGTTCAGCTGTTTTTAGAACATCACAGTGCGAAGATCGGTAAGCGAAACGTTTACCGATCATTGCAATGCGATGTTTTGCCACCTAAAACATCGCAATGCGATTGCATTAGCAATCGCAAAAAAAGCGTCGCTATGAGGATTCGTCATTAAACGGTGCGCTCGTTATGCGAGGTACCACTGGTACCTATGATTTTAACTTATCTTTCATATTCAAGTCCTAAGTGAACATTGCATCACCTCCAGAAAAGTTCGGTGTGGAAAAGCATAGGACCATAATCAACTTCCTGTTTCTCCAAGGGAAAGGTGCAAAGCAGATCCATGATGAAATGTCACCAACTTCGGGTGACAGTGGTCCTTCATCTGCAACAGTTAAACGTTGGGTTGTCAATTTTAACACTGGCAATTTCGGTGTTGAAAGTGAGAAACCCAGTGGAAGGCCTGTTTCTGTCTCTGTGCATGCAAATGTGGAGGACCACCGAATATCAGCCAAAAGTATTGCTGTATATCTGAGAATATCACGTGAGAGAGTTGGTGCCATTATCCACAACGACTTGGAAATGAGAAAGCTGGCGGCAAAGTGGATCCCCAAACTTTTGACAACTGAACAAAAGAGGAAATGTGTGGAGTCATCGGTGGCTGTTTTGGAACATTTTGCAAGAAGTGAATCAGATTTCCTGGGCAAACTGGTAACTGGTGATGAGACATGGATCTACTGTTATGATCCTGAGACAAAGGAACAGTCTAAGGAATGGAGGCACAGTGGTTCCTCCTGGCCAAAGAAGTTCCGAGTGCAAAGGTCGGTGCAGAAGCAAATGGCAACAGTTTTTTTGCGATAAGAAGGGAGTTCTGCTGGTGGACTACCTCCAAAAGGGTTCAACCATCAGTGCAAAATATTACTGTGCTTTATTGATGAAGTTGAGGCAAAACATCAAGGAAAAATGTCGAGAAAAGGTCTCCAAAGGTGCCATCCTGTTGCATGACAACGCCTCGCCACACACTGCAGGTGAAACAATGGCAAACCTGAGGTCCTTAGGCTTTCAAGTGATGCCCCATCCACCCTATTCTCCTCACCTGGATCCTTCTGACTATTATCTTTTCCCCAAACTCAAAAAAACATCTAAAGGGACAATGATTTGGGAGTGTTCCGAAGGCAACTAATGCTGCAAATGAGTGGTTACACCAGCAGTTGGAAGAATTTTATTTGCAGGGACTTCAGAAGCTGCAGGACAGATGTCGCAAGTGCATTTACTTCTGGGGGGATATATAGAATAGTGTGACAGCTACAGCTTCCTAGCTCATTTTTTTCTGGGAAAGGCTCAGTACTTATCACCACCCCCTCCTAACCCTCCTGAAAGAGTAGATTTATACTCCCTCAAAGCTTATCCCTAATAAAATACCATAGCATTTAAGATGCTGGGATATTCTTTCCTGTTTTTATTACAACAGACCTGTCCCCCTAGAGATACAAACTTGATATTAAACAGCACAAAATTACAAAAGTTTGAAGTAGTTCTCAAGCAATTTCAATTCATAATTGGAAAAAGATGTTTCCTTACTCTTGGAATCTCTCATCTAACAAAGAATATAGAGTAGGAGTACCATGGTTTTGTATCAAAAAGGTTTTCTAAGAAAATATGGTAAGCTCTTTATAGCAGTCTCCTGTTGCATAATCCTGTCTATCAATATCCAAAAGAAACTAGGGTAGGTTAATGGGATAGAGGTCCTATAATTCTATTCAGACTGTTATTCCCCCTCTCCTTTCTCCCGAAAAAGCTCTCAGGAGAATGTGAGGCTCCTTGGGAGCAAAACATTTATTTTAAGGAGCTTTTTCTGCCTCACCTACAACATGATTTAAAAAGAGAGGCGAGAGTGGATTGTCTAGGTTTATCTGGTTTGAGCCTCAAGCTGGGGGCTGTTTGTGGGATTTGATGAAATGTTGAAAAACAAAGATGTTAATTAATCCTACATGGGGTGTGAGAACTATTTGCCCCCAGGTGCCCCCTAAACCTGCTCCACAAAGAAAACCTTTCTGTCTAAAAATTGTGGCTTGTGAATTTGACATTTACAGGTGGTGGCTCCTGCAGGCTTGACATATACTCAAAATAACCTCTTTTCAAAACTTTTAGGCAATCTCCAAAATGGAGGAAATGTTCCTGTATGCATGAAAGGACTGGATTTTGTGTGTGTGTGCGCTTGCTTGCTTTTATTTATATATATATATATATAAATCGTGTAAAATATAACTTTTGTTCATTCAATACAGATTAAATGACATGTGGACCATTAGTTTACAAGACAGAGATTTAACTTGTTGGGAAGAGGTAAGAGTTCAGCATTTAATTCTAGTGTTTTTGGTGTACTGTTGTCTGATCTAGAAAACATGATCATGTCAAAATGAGAACAGGGGCCATGAAAACTGAATCCATAATGAATGTAAAACTTTAAAGTGTCACATTAGTGTTATGTGCAGAGTTATGCAATTCAGTATGCAACAAATAATGTCTATGGGGATTTCTTAAGCTATGGCAGTTGCTTCCAAAAGCTATACTGTTTGCATAACATAGGATTTCAGCCAGTATTTAAGAAACAATCTCAGTCCAGCTTTTGCTGTACAGAGTTAGCAGAGTGCAGTTCTTTGGATCTTAGCTGTATTTTTCTGGATGAATTATACTTTAAAAACTAAGATTGTAATTCTGTATCCACTTATTTAATATCAGATTACATTTAATTAAATGGAATTTGCTTCTGAGTAGAAGTTTATAAGATTGTGGTGTAAGGTGCTAATAAGATTCAAGCTTTTAGTACATAATCCCTGTTTATTTTTTGATACTGTAAGTAAGATATGATGTATGTCAAAATTTAAAGACATATATATTCCAAAGTGCTTAATTCTTACATTTCTAAATGAAAAATATAATTTTTTATGTTGCTGCTTTTCAGATTAAACAAACTGGAGAGATTCCTCCTTCATGCTGCAATTTCCCTGTGGCTGTTTGCAAAGAGAAAATGTTTGTCTTTTCTGGCCAAAGTGGAGCAAAGATAACCAACAATCTTTTTCAGTTTGAATTCAAGGAACAAATGTATGTTTGAAATGTAACCAAGTTAAACCCTACAGTGGCTACATTTAAACAAATTCTGCAAGATAACAAACAGTTGAACTATTTAATGTGATTTCAGTAAGGGTTTCATAATGTAAATATGAATTGTTGGGGGAGGGGAAGTCAAGGAAGCAAATGATGAAAATATTGATGAAAAAGGAATGAAGAAAATTGAGACTATATCAATTAGCCTTAGAAGAGTAACATCAATTGGTTACCAATATACAGTACCTAGAAGATCTCTGGTTTCATTAATGCAGACTTGGCCCTCCACTGATGCAGACTAACTAACCCATGGATAGTTGCTGTGGCCAGTATGTCACCTGGTGGCCATTCTTCTTATGATGATTCTCTTTGTACACAGCAAAACTGGTCCCTAGACAACCAAAATAGAGATTGCCTTTGAGACCTTATTTTGAAGCTCTACCAGACTACCAGAACCTCTCAAAGCTCTCCTCCTCCTTCCATCCCCCCCATGCAGAGATAGGGTCATACAATAGTTGCCTTTGATCATGATCTCTTTGTGTTTGGTTTTTTGTTTGGTTGTGCAGCAGACAACACATTGACCAATGAACTTCACTGTTATGATGTGGACTCTTAGGTGTATTTTTTAAAAAATCTAGGGTTGCTTCCATGGTACAGTGAGACAGCAGAGTAATACTTTGTAGAAGTGACTGTCTACAGTATACCTTTTTAAAAGATGGATCCAAAAAGGTGCAGAGCATCCTAATTATAAAAGTGCACCTAGTACGGTCAACTGTTCAGATCAGGCAAGAACTTGTACTTATTCCCAAACAGTAGTTCTTAAGTTCCAACTAGAATAGGCCCATTGAATCAGTGGGGATTTGGTGTGCTGAATTCTTTGTAAGCTCAGTTGATTCCCAGGTCCTGGTCTGTTTGTAACTTGCTACTGAATTTCAGCCAGTGTAATTTTTGAGTTTCCTAGCTGCAGACTGTTGAGTGTACTGTACCAATGTACCCAATATAAGGGTTAAAAAAAAATAAAAGCACAGTCTTAAACATGTTTATCTTGTAGACAGGAATTCCCCACTGCATTCTGTGGGATGTATTCCCTAGTTGGTATGTTCAGAATTGCATTTTAAGTTACCGTTATATGACAAATAGGGGAAGAAAGGTACTATAGAAATTACTGGTATATGCAATATGTGATTAGATTGGAATTTGTAAAGACTGAACAAGAGGAGGATTGCATACAAAATTAAATGTATTCGATTCATACCTTTCTTTAGACTGGGATACAGAACTCTTGGGGGCCCAGGGACTATTTTTACTCTCCCTGGACCTGGAGGGCTACAGTCGAGCTGTTGACATTTCCAATATCCCCAAATTCTGGAAAACAGTTTTGTCCTCAGATGGCAAATTGTATCCCAGATTCCTGTGGAAACATGCTATTTTCCATTCTGAGGTAGTTGCAACCCCACTTCCCTTTCAATTGTATGCCAAAAAAGGCTTCTTTTAAAAATGTTTGTTAAACAAACCCTTTTCTGGCATAGAATAGGTTGGAGAAAGCTGATATTTGAACTCCACATCCAGAGGATTCAAATTTGCTATTGTGGGCCCAATTTTCTCCCAAATATCAGGGCTTCATGGAACCTGGGGAACTGCATTGAAGGTCATGTGCAACGTGTTGGCTCTAAGGGCTAAATTGTAAGAAACTTCATTTGGTAATTGCCCTTTGTTTTCTCTACTAGCTGGACACGAATTCCTACTGAGCACTTGCTACGGGGCTCTCCTCCTCCCCCCCAACGGAGATATGGCCACACAATGGTTGCCTTCGATCGTCATCTCTATGTGTTTGGTGGTGCTGCAGACAACACATTGCCCAACGAACTTCACTGTTATGATGTGGACTCTCAGACCTGGGAGGTTATCCATGCAAGTCCAGATAGTGAGGTGAAAATAAAGTTTAGACCTTAATTCATTCTACTGTTTCTCCACACACACACCTTTCAAGTATCACTTACTTAACAGACAAGAAAATAGAAAGCCTGTTTCATGTATCCTTGAAGCAAACAAAATATTGCCTCTTACTGCCAACAGCAAGCCTTTCACTGGTTGATGAGGACAAACGAGTGTGAAAAGAGATTGTAAGGTGGATTGTGTCAGTAGTACCACAGTGTGCTTCTGGGACTTACCTACATTTTGTATTTTGTTATTGGTTTGGGGGAGGGTTTTTTTTTGTGTGTGTGTGTGTTTTGCTGGTTGGATGGTTGG